TTATGGCTGTGTAACTGTGTATTGTTTTATGGCTGTATTACTGTGTATTGCTTTATGGCTGTATTACTGTGTATTGCTTTATGGCTGTACAAACAGGCATATTCAAGGAGACAAAGGGTTTTGACATTTCTGTTACTTGGATGTTAAGCTGGAGCACAGACAAGATTTTAATAAAGGAGTCATCTGTGATTTTGACCTTTGACCCAGTGACCTTGAAATCAATTATTATAAATCCTTTACTCATGGTAAATGGTAATGGTAAATGGAGCTTACTTCTATAGCGCCTTCCAGCCCCCTATGAGGGGCCCCAAGGCGCTTTACAGTACCAGCCATCCACCCATTCACACGCACATTCATACACCGGTGGCGGTAGGCTGCCATGCAAGGCGCCATCCAGTCCCACCGGGAGCAACTCGGGGTTAAGTGTCTTGCCCAGGGACACAACGGCACATGGTGTGGGAAGTCGGGATTCGAACCTCCAACCTTCCGATCAGAAGTCGGCTGCCACTACCACTGCACCACGGCCGCCCACATGAGGGGTCCAGCTGTTCAATTTGACATTTTGATGTCAAAGAGTTATCAAGTTAGAGTGGGGACAAAACATTGTTCACAGACAGACAAAAAAACAAACACATTTTAAAAATCAGCTTGGATTTAAAAAAAGATGGTAAATGAACTGTACTTATATATTTCTATCTGATCAAGACACTAAAAGTGCTTTACAACACAATCTGTGTCCTCATTTACCCAATTCATACAGCTTTCTACTAGATCTCTACAAAGAATAATCAGAGCTTTATCACATTCATACACTGATGGGACACACATCAGAGGCAATGAGGGGTTCAGTGTCTTGCCCAGGGACACTTCGGCATGTGACTGCTGGTGGAATTGAACCCCCAACTCTTGCATTGGAGGACGACTGCTCTAACCACTCAGCCACAGCTGCCCATGTAACAAATAATAAAAATAAAAGACCTAAACTATCCCTTTAGGTCCTAGTTTATTCCTTGACATTGCCAAATGTTTTGAAAAATGTCAAGATCAAGGTTAGAATTTATTGTATTTTAGCTGGTAACAATGTTCACGTTGTTCTTACCATGGTCATTGTATCCAGCCAGGTCCTTAAAGTCGATGTACAGGTCATGATCTGAGTCCAGCTCCCAGAACTTGCAGTAGATGACATAGAAATGTTCGTAGGAGAAGTAGTCAGTGATCTGGTTGATGTCATCCTCTTCCTCCAGCAGGGCTAGAGTTTGCAGGAAGTTGCTCCTGCGCAGCTCTGTCATGTTGATGTGGCCTGTCCACGAACGGTTTACCACATAGAATATCCTCTGAATCACCTGTCACAAACAACCAAACAGTAGCTGCATCAACACTAGGAGGACTACAATTATTTTAAAACATGACAAAAAAACAGGGACACATTCATTTTCAAAAGTGATCTTATATAACGGCTTTATGCTGTTTTGATTATTTTCTCTTCAGCTTTTATTCAGTATTTGCCTCTTGCTCTCCTAAGGAAATGTGTTGCAACAGCAAAAATACAAATAGAAGTTATA